CCTCAGACTGGAGCTGGAGAGAGCAAGCATTGATGTTCTTAGATGACATCCTTTGGGTTCCTGAGGTGTTCAGCTGTCTTTCTTCAAGCTACAATTGTCCAGTGCCTCAAGTTTTTCTTGGAGGACATGGGACAGTTCCTCCCAGCAGAACTAAAACCAGCATAAAGATGTGCTTCTTGTACTTCCGATCTCTATTCTACTTGCCTTCCTTCTTTTCCTTCACCGCAGGGAATGAAGAGGAAACAGGAGGGGTTCTTGACTCAGTATACCCTGCGCCCCTCTTGTAGACTAGGTCCCATAGCGCCTAATCACTGGGTGGCCTTTTTTGACATGTGTCCGGTGGTCTTCCAGAGTATCCCCAAACTGCATTTAGCAGGTTGTGTGGAAGACCCCTTAGCTCTTAGTCCTCAGCTGATCATCTTCATACCCCTCGGAGCCTACTCCAGATTGTCGGAATCCTCCATTGGAGTATCTTATTGACCCCAAGCTGTCTCTGGTTTATTAGACTGTCTGAGATGAACACACCTACTTAAGAGATGTCAGAGGTATCCACTGATTCTCAGATCAGGAGTTTTCCTTGCAACATGGGAAGGGTAATGGCGGCAGACATGGGCATACTGAACTGCTCCGGCCCCAAGGGATTGCCCTCTTGCGGGTATTGTTTTCCCTAGCTCTAAACCAGTGTTTCTCAACCTTAGCAACTTTAAGATGTGTGGACTTCAACTCCCAGAATTCCCCAGCCAGCCATGGGGAATTCCACACATCTTAAAGTTGCTAAGGTTGAGAAACACTGGTCTAGACTATTTCCACTGGGCTGAAAAAGCTACTCCTTTTTCAGAATTTTTCAGAACGATGCTTACAATTCTGGTTGACATCATTTACCATCCTCACGTTGTAATGTTTTGTTTAATATCTGCATCGGGTGGAGGAGACTTTGGGTTCATTAACTGGTTTTCATGCCTAACCTGAAAATACTGTTTTTTTTCTTCTTTGGTGTGCGAGCTCCATTCTTTTCTCTCTCCCCTGTTTTTTAGAGAGATGGTTGCCTGCTTGGGAGAAAGACCTACAATGGCTAGTACTTGCCACAGTTAATAGGGGTGAGGGGTTGCAGATAGATCTTAGCATCCTTCGTTTGGTCAGGGGCAACTGCTGGGATGTCTGTGAGGCATGAGTGGGTCAGAAAAGCCAAAATGGAGCCCACACCTGTGTGTTCAAAGCACTGTCCCTTTCTTATATGGGTCAATACATGTAAAAAAGGGGTAGGGCTTTGGTCATGCAGGTAAGGGTGCCATCTTGACTTTTCTGACCCCTCTGCCCTGGCAAATGCCTCTAGAAAACCGCTAGTCTTACAACAGAGGTCACAGTCCCCTTTTCTTCCAGGGAGAGAAAGACTGGCAAAAGTACGAAGTTGCTCGCCGATTGAAAAAGGTGGTTCACCAGATCCGTTGTCAGTACCGGACAGACTGGAAGTCCAAGGAAATGAAGAAGCGGCAAATATCGGTAGCGCTCTATTTCATCGATAAGGTAAGTTTTGCTTTTCAGCACAGAGTTTATCGCTGTGAAAATGGTTTGCGCCCTTCCCTGCCCCCCTTCCCAAGGATCACCAACAGGTTGACTTGAGTTGGCCTGTTCTCCTGACTGCTTGATGGTCAATGTTTAGGGGATTTGGGATGCCTTGGTGAGGTAGGGTTGGACGGGGTGATTTTGTGGGGACTGAGCAAGGAGAGGTCAGATGTCCTTGGAAGACAGCCAACATTTTGCTTTAAGTTCTTTCTGACCTGGGTCTACGGTGCTCATCAATGTTGCTTGAGTGAAGAGGTAACGTATCAGAAAAGGGATCAGCTATGAAATGCCCCACCTCCCCTGAGTTTCAGAGTTGTGGGGCTGCCCCTGAAAGAAGCTTTTCACTCTCCCACCCGTCTGAATGGCTACCAGAGAAGATCCTCCTCCACAGAGCTGATGCTCTGCAGGTCTATTGGAGCAAAGGTCATCTTTTAGGACCTGCTTCTCCAGAAGCTGCAGAACCCCCATTGACAGCCGCCCCAACATCCTGGGGGCTGCAGTTAGGAAATTCTGGAGGGTGATAGAGTTCCCATCCGTATTTAAGTATTTAATGCTATTATTATGATCCTGTGGAGTCCTTGGGGTTCTCTGAGCTTGGTTGTTTTCTTGCAAATGTTTTGTTACTTGGCTAGGTAACATCTTCAGTGCTAGAAAGGAGTGGACTCTGTTTTAGCACTGGAGATGTCACCTAGCTGGGTAACGAAACGTTTGCAAGCAAACAACCAAGCTCAGAGAACCCCAAGGACTCCACAGTTCAACCCTGAGCTACACAGATTCTCTTCTGTTGGTATTATGAGTCTCCTGTTTGCTACCCTTTGGGTTAATCTCCGTGGAGGACAGGCGAACGAGATGAATCCTGAGAGCCGTGCAAAGATGGGAGCCTGTCCCCTGGTCTGCAGACCCACACTTTACTGCTTCCCAAAGATCCGCTTTCCCCAGTCAGGTGCCCTCCTGAGATATTTGCCCTACAGCTCCCATAATTCCTAGCCAGCACGGCCCAACAGCCGTGCAAAACATAAGACCTGCGCAGGTCTGAGAACAAGGGCCAGGAGCTGCTCAGGAACCTCCCTGTTTCCTACCCATCTTGTGAAAAGCTGGGCTCTGGAGCGCCCCTCTTCTCGGGAGGGCAGAATGACCCCCTGGCTGCTCACCCTTCTGTGTCCTGTTCCAGCTGGCCCTGAGGGCGGGGAACGAAAAGGAGGAAGGCGAGACGGCCGACACGGTGGGCTGTTGCTCTCTGCGAGTGGAGCACACTGCTCTGCATCCACGGCAGGACGGCAAGGAGAACGTGGTGGAGTTTGACTTCCTGGGCAAGGACTGCATCCGCTACTACAACAAAGTGCCCGTGGAGAAGCAGGTGAGCCAGGCGGGGGCCCGATTCGGCTGGGCTACTTCCAAAGGACAACGCTGAGATTTTAGACTGGCTTTTTCCCAGTCTGGGATCTGGAAGTACTGGGAATTGTAGTCCTGAAACATCTAGAAGCACCCCATTGGACAAATCTCCAGGAAAATCTCCAGCAGGAGAACAGTTCTCTCCCTTCTTGGCCTAACGTAACTGGAAAAACCGCTAAGAAAGTTCACTGTGCAGAATGCCAACATTTTATTTCTCTAATGCAAGCAACCCTTCATTCTTAGCTTCTTGGGATCCTGGCAGTGTTGTAGCTGTGTCCCACTGTTTTCTTTCCCCTCTCCCAAAAAACGGAACCTGAACACTTCCCTTGGTTCTGTATTTCTGTTTTTGGAGCTCAGAGCAGTTCCCTTGAAGTGAGCGACCCAAAGCAGCTTCCATCTGCCTTGAAGAGGTTTCTGACGTTCGCTTTGGCCCCTGGAAGCGGGGCCAGTTTCTTGGCGAGCTAGCCTGGCAGGAGAGGCAATTTTCTAATTGGTCTGGGCAGAACGTCCTTCCTAGTTTCAGCTGCAGTGTTCCTGCAGATAAAGGGACCTTCTGGGTTGTTCTTTGAAAACGGAGATATTTGCAACGCATTTGCAGAGTCGTCGGTAAGTGGATGGACTTAGAAATGAAAATTATGAATTTCAAAGAGGGTACAACGTTGCCTTCTGCTTGGGATCTTGGAAAGTGAACGTCGGTTTGTAGGATCCCTAGTAGAAGTGTTACACCACCTGTGCTGGAGAAGGGCAGGGCTGCCAAAATCTTTTCCCATTTGGCTCCCCAGGTAAGGATTGGGAAAGGAGAGGGCAGAATTAGGTAGATTGCGGTCCTGAGGTCGGCTCTGCTGCTTGTCACAATCTCGATTACAGGAATTGGGGGATGAGAGGTGGGGTTCTTGCTGTGCAGCCATCCAGGGTCTCACACAGAACAACCTTTCCCATCACCCGAGTTCTCATACTTTTAAATGGAGGTGCAACACATGAATTTGGGATTTGTTGTGTACCAGGCCTGGCATGGATGATTGTTCAGAAAATTGCCAACGTTTGCTTGTCCTGGAAGGCCTTCGGAGTCTAGAACAGACTAGGGAGGGAAGTTGTCTGAGGACATGTGATGCCATCTCCTTTACTACTGTGTTACACTGTATTATTGCATTATATTTATTTTGCGTTATATTTATTGCCATTTTATGTATACATTTGCACATAACTTGTGAAGCAGTATGTACGTTTTAAAAACAAACAATACAGAGTTGAAGGTCTCTTCCCAGGAGATACAGGCCTATTTCTTCTGAGGCTTCCACCTTCTGGTCCCTGCAAGATGGACCTGATTTGCTCTTCTCTCATTTCCCGCTGTTGCTCTCACGCTGTGCAGCATCTTCACTTGGTTGGATTTTCAGCCAGGTGGCCTGCAACAGCCGATGACCCCGGATCCTCCTCGCTTAGCCCGAGTCTTCCTTTCAGACCTTTGCGGGTCTGATGCTGCTTCCGCAGTGGTGTTTTAGATACTGTAAATTCTTTGAGGACTTCATTGTGAGATCTGTCTTTGTTATAGGTGTTCAAGAACTTGCAGTTATTCATGGAGAATAAAGAACCTGGAGACAACCTGTTTGATAGGCTCTCTGTAAGTGTGTGCTGAACTTCCTGAATGTTGTGCTTCTCCCTGCCTTCCATTTTTTTTTCTACTAATGGTACAATTGTATTCTTCTCTCTGTTTAAGTAGGTTTGAGGCAGAGGGAAAGGTGAGGATGAAGGTCCACCACTGTATCCAGGACATGATGTGAAAGTACTTGATGGCTCAGTTTGCCTAAGCAAGTGCGGATCTAGTCCACATGTAGATCAGAGTTATGCCGTGGAAGAGAAGGAGGGCTCGATATAATCACTTAGGATAGTTTTCCGTCTCTTCCGTTTGCATCACAATCCGAGTTTCATGATCTCCTAGTCCACATGGCAGAATAGCTTTCATTATCATCACAAGGCTCTTAGCTTGTTTCCTCCGGGACTGAAGATGATGGGAAGAGGATTAGTGCAAAACCTACAACTGCCTTTTAGGGAGACCGGAATTAGTTTTGAGTTGGAGGAAAGGTAGAGGTACTCCTGAATTAAAGTTCCTGCCTGTGCCCCCCTGAAATGGAGGGTCAACTCGGAGCTCTTACCTGGGGCATTATTTTTCCTGCTCCTCTTCTCTAACTTCCCTCCCCACTTGGCTTTCCAGACGACAACGCTGAACAGACATCTCCAGGATCTGATGGACGGATTGACAGCGAAGGTCTTCCGAACTTACAATGCATCCATCACGCTACAGGAACAGCTTGAAGCATTGACCAGTGGTAAACCAAATCGAGGCACCACCTACTAAGCTATTCTGCTTTGGGGGCTTTATTAATTCCAGCAGAATTTTGCAGCACCTCTGGAGAACTTTTGAATGCATGTATTTTGGGGTTGGAGTGGCTGGATTGATTCTCGTTCCGAGTGGTAGGCACAGTTTCTAGTCTGTGTTGAAATGTGGCACCTCTTAGCTCAGTTTTGGTGCTCTGATGCTCTGCCCTATGTCTGCCTCCTTCCATTTTCCCCAGTGCCATCATTTCAGTTAAGCTCTTTATGTTCTTCTGGGAACATGAAGGTCATCTTTGGGAATCGTGGAACCTGCTTTGATTGACTTTTGATTGAGAACATTTTTAGATTTTCTCCTGAGCTTGAGTCACCTTGATGGAATACAAGAAGAGTAGGATATGTCATAAAGGACATGGAGGTGTCCTGACCCAGTGCCAGGGCGCTGGGCCTATGTTTTGCATGGAGAAGGTTCAGTCCACGGCATTTCCAGTTCCAGGATCTCAGTTTATAAAGCTGGGAAAGATCCCAGATTACTCTACAGGGTTCCTCTCTCTCAGCCAAAGAGCCAGTGTGGGGTCGTGGTGAAGGTGCTAGACTACGAGTTCTAGTTCTCTTTCAGCCACAGAAGCTTCCTCAGGGACTTTGGGCCTGTCTCCCTCTCAGCCCAAGAGCCAAGGTGGTCTAGTGGTGAAGGTGCTGAACTGGGAGTGGGGAGACCCAGTTTCCAATCCCACTTCAGCCATGGAATTCCCATGGGGGGTTCTCAGCCCAGCCTATTTCATGGGGCAATTGTGAGAATTTGAAGTTAACATCAGAAAATCCCAGGGCCATTGTAGAAATGTAGAAATCTCAGCTGCACCCTAGTCAGTTCACTGGTGCTTGCTCTCCCTCAGATGAGCCATACTGCTGGGAGGAGAAAAATTGGGAAAGGCATTTCATCAAACTTTCTTTTTTGAAGGATACTGTCAGTCTGAGTTATTAAACTGATTTTCCACACATTCCACCCACAGAGGATGACACGCTGGCTGCCAAGCTCCTCTCCTACAATCGAGCCAACCGAGCAGTTGCCATTTTGTGCAACCATCAGCGGGCAACTCCAAAGACTTATGAGAAGTCCATGCAAAACCTCCAGGCGAAGGTGAGCCAGCAAAAGGGGAGGAGGACACACACATGCACGAGCTATTAAGTAGTGGACTGGCCTCTCTCCTGGAGACTTCTAGCTGGCCAATTGTAGCAGGTGTAAGAAAGGAAAGGTGGGATTCCGCGCAGGTCTCTTTTCTACATCCATAATTGCTGGCAACCCACTGTGTGGGTATCATGGCTTTGTAGCAGGGGGTGTTGGAGCTGGTCAGGTGTCAGATAGCAGGAATGAGGAGAAGCTGTAGAGCAGTGTTTCTCAACCTTGGCGCTTGAAGATGTGTGGACTTCAACTCCCAGAATTCCCCAGCCAGCATGTTGAAGAGTTGAAGTCCACACATCTTCAAGTTGCCAAGGTTGAGAAACACTGCTATAGAGACCAGAAAGGGAGAGGGAAGGGGTACCTTGATTTCCTGCACAGAATGTCCTTGAATCCAAAGGTTGGAAGCAACCTTGGAGATCTTGTAGTCCAACAGCCTGCCTGGCCAGGAATCTTCAGACCATGCCAGATAAGTGGCCCTCCAGCCTTTGCTTGAAAAGTACCAGTACTGGAGACCTCACAGCTCCAGGAGAGAGGCCAGTCCACTGCTTACTAGCTCGTGAGGTCAGGAAATTCCTCCTTATTTTGAGTTTGAAACCCTCTCTGTGAAGCTTCCACCCACTGGTTCTTGTCCTGCCCTTGGGCCCTAGGGAGAATAAATCCACACCCTCTTCCCTGGAGCAGCCCTTCAAGTATTAGAAAACTGTTCTCATGTCTCTCCTTAGCTTTTGCTTCTTTTGGCTAAAGATACCTGTTCCTTTCGGTGTCCAAGCCTCTCACTGTCTTTGTTGATCTTCTCTGCACTCTTTCCCGTTGCAGAAGAAGCCTTTGTCTTCGGAGACCCCTCTTTGCTTGCACAGGAGTAGATGACTCAGTTTTGACTTACTCGTCTTATATTTCCAGATGGACGCCAAAAAGGACCAGCTGGCCGATGCAAAGGCGGAGCTGAAAAAGGCAAAGGTGGAACACAAGTGCAAGAAGGAGGCAAAATCAAAAGCGTGTGTGCTCTTGGTTGTTTAGTTCTGGGGTATTTTAACTTGGGGATGGCCATTCCTCACTATTCTTACTTACATGCATGCATGTAAACGCATTAAAATATAAGGTTATTCCTTCTGCATCAAATTGGAGGGGGGCATTTAATCCAGCATCCTGGTTCCCACAGAGGACAGTCGTGTCCATTGAGGAGCGTACGAGCAGAGTAGGAAGGTGGTAACCCCCCCCCACTATCAACCCACCCTGCAGATTGATATTACACATAAGCTGATATTTAGGGTTGTTTTAAGGAGTCGGTGTTCTCCTTAATGAATTTCTCCATCTAATCTGGTGTGCGTCAACAGAGAGCACTTTTATGGGAGCAAATTCTGTAAATTTTGCAAGCAAGCAAACAAATTCTTTCGTCAGACACAGTTCTACAGATGGGATGGGGCTGGGAACAAATTCCATTTTTCATTACCTGTCATTTTATCAGATTTGAGGTGACCTCCTGATGGCCCTTTTTCCTTAACTAAGATCTTAGAAATTACAGTGAAAAATGGGTGTTTCTAAGAGCTTTTATTTATTTTATTTGATAAGTTTTACAAAAAGATACACAAAAGAAAACATACAAGATACAAAAAGGACAATAAATGATAAGAAACTAAACACAGAAAAAGAAAAAAAATAAGTTTTAACCTATCAAAGCATATCCCATATATTTCAAGTATTAAGCGGAACACCAGAGTTTCTCATTTTAAAAGAATAAATGATAATACTCTGTTGCTGTACAATATCATGAAATTTGTGCCAAACATACTGCGTCATTTTTTGATCAATAGATTAACTCCCTTTTCAAAAGCCAATAGCATTTCCTGTACCTACTCCGTGATATTGGGAATAACTACTTTTTTGGTTTCTCAGAATAATTTTCTTGCCAAAACACCGTGCCTGATAAACCTATAGTTAACTCTAAAACAGATTTGGGATGTAATTGAACATAACATGAACATCTTTAACATTGAAAGATATAGTATTAATCTCTAAACATAGGTTCACTGATCGGGAAGGCTTTTAATGAAAAATGAGGATTATAGAAATACTCATAAGGAAAGGTGTTTTTTCTAAGAAACTGTTGGCAAACCCCAACAGCCAGCAGTTTTCCTTGTTGGGGATCTGCTGCTTGACCTGTAAAGGGGCAGCTTTCCAATCTGTAGGTCAGTGTTTCTCAACCTTGGCCACTTTAAGAGGAGTGGACTTCAACTCCCAGAATTCCCCAGCCAGCCATGAATCTAGGTGCAACCTAGGTGCAACCTTGAATCTAGGTGCAAAGCAGTGTTTCTCAACCTTGGCCACTTTAAGAGTGGACTTCAACTCCCAGAATTCCCCAGCCAGCCATGAATCTAGGTGCAACCTAGGTGCAACCTTGAATCTAGGTGCAAAGCAGTGTTTCTCAACCTTGGCCACTTTAAGATGTGTGGACTTCAACTCCCAGAATTCCCCAGCCAGCCATGAATCTAGGTGCAACCTAGGTGCAACCTTGAATCTAGGTGCAAAGCAGTGTTTCTCAACCTTGGCCACTTTAAGATGTGTGGACTTCAACTCCCAGAATTCCCCA